CTGGCTGGGGTTAAACCACGACACAAACTAATCAAGTGATACATGAACAAGCACTTAGCCATCTCTGTGTTTAAATGATGTAGACATTTCTATGCACACTGCAATAACACAGATTACCTGGACTCTTAAGAAAAGGGGGCAAGCATAGCTTGGTAGGTAGGTCACTACTTGCTGATGCATTTGCTCCAAGTCTAATGATGTATTCTGCTTTAAAGTAAGAGAGGCCATGCCTGCTTTTCCTTCATGACCTGGTGGAAAGGAAATGAGATGAGAATTTTGAAACATGAATAAAGTTGACATTTTTGTGATGAACCTTATGAAAAACTACTGTAGTGCATTAATAAACTGACATCATATATCATCTTCCGAGTTTCAGTAAAGCTGCAAGTTCACGTTCACATTTTATGTGGTATTACATATATTTGGAGATCACTCAAGTGATCAATTAAGCAATAATGCTGTAAATAAGTTTGGCAGGCAAGAGTAAATGGAGTCCCATGTTTGATATTAATCAGTAAAATACGGATAAACATCACCACCATTCCTGTCTCAAAAAAAAGACCGATGAGCCTCTTTTCTGGACTAGCGAACTATGTCTTCACTTCAGTTTTAGTCTCTCTGACAGTATTTTTTCTCAAAACTATGGATCTGAATGTTGTTACCAGAGAGAGATTAGAAGTTCTTACTGGTTTGTCTGGAAAGAGAGAACACTGTGGTCTTTCATAAAGAACAAAATTGGTGAAGTATAAAAGCAATTAAAATAGCTGCACACTAACCATCAGTTAGTAATAACAGCAGAGACATTCTGCCAACCTTATCCATTTTGGTTTTTGGGGTTTTTTTTGTTTTGTTTGGGATTCTTTTGCAAATCCTGCACAATCTGTAAGGAACTTCATTTATTCATGTTTAAGTGCAATTATCAAGACAGTCACCTAAAGTGGTTAGGTAAACAGGTAGATGTACAGAAAATGAGCAGCTCACATATTTTTGAGTCTGATTTTCAGACAGTCTGCTTCACTATGCTCTTTCTTGCTGTGTAGTTTTAAATACACGTAAGTGACACCTGTATCACATTTTAAACTCCTTTAATAATTTGTGGTTAACAACCGAACATCCAGCCAACTTCTCACTCACTCCCTTCCCTCATGGCATGGGAAGGGAACAGAAGGAAAGCAAGACTCAGGTATCAAGATAATGGCAGTTTAATAGGGAAAGCAAGAGTTACATGTGGAAGCAAAGCAAACCCAGGACATCATTCAATATTCCTCATCATCAGGCAGATGTCCAGCTACTCCCTACAGGGCAAGGCCTCAGATTATGCAGTGGTTGTTTGGGAAGACAAACACCACAACCACAAATGTTGTCCACTTCTTTTTCTCCAGCTTTCATACCCAAGCCTGGCATCATATGATATGGAATATCCCTTTGGTCAGTTTTGGCCCGCTGTCCCATCTACACCTGCTGCCAAGTTCTTGTTCGTCCCTAGCATACTCGCTGCAGGGAGAGCCTTGGTACTGCCTGTGCAAGTTTTGGTCAGTGATAGTCAAGCACTGGCAAGTTATCAACACAGTTTTAACTGCCAGTGCACAGAACCATACAGACTCCTATATAAAAATTTATTTCTATTCGAGCCAGACCTAGTGTACATTTTAAAAGAAGATTTAGCATGAAAGAGAACCAAGCCCATATGAGCTCGTGAAAAATAACAACAAAAAAATTAATCTGTTTTCTTTCTTAATAATTTATTTTTCTCTTTGTATGCTTTTTCACTTCATCATTGGTTTTGTAATGTAACTGTTTACAGTTATTTAATGAGGCTAAGTGAAAAGTGAAAGAAGACAGAGGAATGTATTCAGACATTTCCTTTTATAGTCACTTTATTCTTATCTTGTTGACATTTTATTTTGACACACAGATGTCTGTATTTTCCACAGATGTGAACTTAATAAATCTCTATGCTTTAATTTAGATTATGTAGCTATCACAAATTCATGAAAGATAACTTTTCAAAAATACGCATTACTTTATACAGATAAAAATGCATGATTCACTGGCTCATTCACAATCTGGTGGTATTTTTGCTATCTGCATCTACTTTTTAGCTAGGTATTAAACAGATGACTCAGGTCAGGTTTAAAACATGAAATAAAAAAAGTTATGAGGGTTAACAGCTAACCTAGGGCAAGAAGAACATACAGCTAAAGCTCTTACTTGGCTGAGGTACACCATACACATTTGCTTCTTCTATGAAGTCCAACATCAAAAGGACATCAGAAACTTCTGTAGTTGCAACATTCTCTCCTTTCCATCTAAAATGTGAAAAGAAAATTTATCCTATTAAAACATATGGTCACCTCCTCTTTAAAAGACATTAACTTCAGTAGGAATTCCAGTATTTTCAGACTAACACCACCTCAAATTTGTTCCACTGTTCATGTCGGTATATTGATCTGGTCACCAATGTTGGAATTTAAAGGTTACTGGGTATTAGGATCACTACGAGGGACATTGAAGGCTTAGTACATTTGCTTCTAAAATCTTGACATGTATCTAAACATGTCAAAGTTGCTACTATTTGATACATTTTTACAGTTCAGTATCCAACTTCCTTGCTCGCAACAAAACCATCACTAGTTCTATGCCTATTCAAAGGAGTGTTCCAAGAGCTAGAATTCCTACCAAACCTGCTGGAAATGAGCCATGCAACTCCACAAGAACACTATTGACAAAATTAGGCCCTTATCATCCACTTCAAGATCATTATAAACTACATCAAAGTAGTAATAAACAGATCAGTTCCAGCTGAAACCAAATATTATCAATAATTATTAAGTAGTATTTCTTACTAAAATTTGTTATTTATAATAGAAAATATCACTACTCGGTATTATTCTATTCTGCATCTTTTTAAAGAAGAAATGTGAAAATAAACAATGATTATACCTGAAGGTATCTCCAATCCTGTCCCAAAAATACAGAAAATTGTCATGGTCTTGAACCATTAGATCTCCAGCGTTAAAATAAAGATCTCCCCTCTTAAATACATCACAGAGTAATTTATTTTCCGTGTATCTCTTATTGCCAGCGTAACCAAAGAAGGGGTTCCTTGCATTGACTTTGGAAATGAGAAGACCAGCCTCACCTATATAGAGGAGTTGAAAGAATATAAACCTAAGGTATCATTGGTCATATCCTGTCCTTGACATTAATATTATTTACAATATTGTCCATTCAAAATCCCAGTCATTTGTCTTTCCTCCTGATGACTCATCAGTTTTCTCCCAGAACTGTCATATGTCACCTGCAAGCTTACTAGTAGGTTTACTATCCTCTCAAAGTGCACAATTCAGGTTAATATTATGTCCCAAACCCTACATCTTATTCAGTTTCCAGTGGTGGGCCTCAGATCATCAGCTTCCTACTGAGAATCTTGTGTTAATAAAAAGTAGGTGTTCAACCCTGTCCCCATTTAGTCTCAGTTCAGAAGTTCTGAGGATGTTTGGTAAGAATTTTTACTTAAGTGATATAGCATCATTGTTTTCTTCTTGGAATAAAACGTAAAAGTTTTAATACAATTTTTTTTCCTCAAAAATAGGGAGAGATAGGGATAGGATTACCCTGCTATGTGTGTAGACTATCAAGGAGTTAGTTTGCTGAAAGTGGTATAATAGTGCGAAATCACCATTCTGGGAGCATGTTCTGAACAGTAAAACTTAAGAGTCACATTACTGTGTATCAGAGACAAGAACTGTAAATACAAAAATATATAAAAGTGCATCCAAAATCATGGACAATTTTTAATTTATTACCTCCTCCGCATACACTAGACCTTTTTCCCATAAATTGGTGGTGTTCAAAGTGGAAGTGTCACAGCAGCCATGATGCTCTGAAGACATAAGTCATGGCTAAGACAAAGGCTACAAGCACAGGTAATATTTTTTACTAGACTGAGTGGTATAGTTGGTAAAAATTTAGACCAGGTATGTAACTAGAGCATGTGTTCACTTTACAGGTCAGTCTGACATCCTGAGAGAAAATTCCCTACAAAATTTGCCATTCTTATAAAATTTCATATTCACCGTATTTTTTTCAAAGTGCCCACCTTTGATTATCAACTGTTAGAGAATCTCTTAACTTTGACAAATCTGCTTCAGCTCCCTGTTAAAGCTGTCTGCCTCACCTTTAATACGAGTTTTTCTTACTTCAGTTTCAGGGGTTGCCTTCCTACAGTTCAAGAGATACTTCAGTATCAATAAACACTGTGAAAAATGCCATAATCAAGAGATACCAGATATTTGATAAGTATTTCGAAGACAGTTATAATCAAGCAACCTCTTTTTCTGTTTAATTAGTAAGATGAATCACATCACTTTTCCAGAAACAATCTTGCATCAAAAACCATTTGCTGGAGTCCACCAGCCTTTCCTGTAGATCTTTTAGGCAACCAGTTCCCTATATTAACCTCCTTTAAAAAGCACAGACATCATTATCTGTGTATTCAAAGATAATATCATATTATCGCCTTTGAATGTTGCTCTTCTGTGAATATATCAAAAGATCTTCTGAGTTCTTCTCATGTCAGCACTGGTATGTTTAATGATGTTTCTCTTGGATCAAAAACCATGTTCCTCTTTTTTCAAAGCAAACAGGAATAGCTGATGCTGTTATATTACAGTAATGCCACAGCAAATGTCCTTAAAATAATTATCTGGAGTAATTGTATTAAAGCCAATAGACCATTATATCCTATTGAAATACATACTTACCTTTCTTAACTTTTTCACACCAACCAAGCCTATTTCTAATTGGTTCTTCTTTTTGGAAATTATACTTGATTAAATCAAATGGGGAAAAAAGCTGAAAAGGGAAAAAGTCATCAATTATGTAACTACACAGTGACATCTGGTGGCAGCAAGTACAAGCAAGGAATTTCATACTCCAGTCTTGCTCAGCTAAAAGGAGAATGCAGTTTCATTTAAAACTGAAAATAATCTGTATGTAAACTCACACCGTTTCTGGAGGTAAGCAACATCAAAACATTTTTATAACGGAAGACACAGAACTGCCTTTTTGTTAATTGTCTTAAAAGTTGTGGAATCCACATTATCTGTGGAAGAGCCCACGTGAGTCAGGGTAATAGAAGCATGTCTGGTGTTTAAGTGACATTTAATGCCATATGAACATTTGAACACATATGAAGTGTTCTTGGGGTCTTTTCTCACTGAAAACAGCTGGCACAGAAAAGGCCTAAATCTCCTCACAAAGGGAAACCTGCTTCCTGTTGGGTTTTTCTCGTGTTTAACTAGCCTCAGCTCTTCCCTCACACTTTCTCGGGATGGTGTATGGTGGTCATCTGCTGTAACCTTTACATGGTATTTCCAAAAGGTTAATGACTTAGGACAAAGTTCTGCCAGAAGTTCTGCAACACCAAAAGTTTACTGAGGTTTGGAACACATGCAAAATTTTGTAAGCGTATAAGATACGTGCCTTAGGAAAGTCTGAAACAAAAATGAACATCAGCTCTAAGGTTCTTAGTTCACCTACTACTCCCTGAAATCCAGATTCCTGATTTCCTGTGGTGGGTCTATACCCTTCCAGAGACATCCATCAGCAACAGATGTCCACCATGCATGCTACAGAGCATCAGACATGTAGGACAGAGAATCAGTGGAGTTACCTGCTTAAATTCCTGAGCTCTCAACAGTTTCTGAAAACCCATTATCCCTTGTGGTGCTTTTCTGAGTGTTTCAAGGTCCATCCCTGCGGTCTGTGTTCCTGTACCAGAAGTGAAGAATTGCTCTGGCCCCAGCTTGCAAAGCAGCCTGTGGTGACTGTAATGTGGTGATGCTGTATTGAGGTTGTGGACACTGGAATGTACACTGCCTGGAAACCTATTTGCACATCATTAGAAGTTACCTTTGATGTATTTCCAAACCATATTTTTATATCACTCTCTAAAAAAATTTGTGCCAGGACATTTTGATATCAGTTCTCCTGAGGAGCACAAGGGTCACTTAAGTCGGCAGGACTTATATATATGGACAGGTAGCTCAGTCAGTTTGCAAATTCCAGGCAACGCATGTCATCCTATTTATTTCAAGAAGAGTTAAAATGAGCATAAACAACAAAATAATGTTAAATATCTAGTCTGCTTGATAAAAAGCCTTGCTAAATAATTTTTCATATTACTGGCTAAAGCTTGGGACACGTTACTAAGGACCAAAAAGGAAAAGTCCATCTGTGAATTTCAAACTGGAATAAATCCTTCTTCATTTACTCAGAAGGCTGAAGGAAAAGTCACCATATGTGATACAAGTAATATGTAATCTTCTTCCCTATGACATACAACTGCCATTTTCAAGGCTGATGGATTACAGAAGTATGTGTTTTCCTAGTTTTAGTAACTTAGAACAAATCCATATAGCAGATGGTACATAAAGGGGAATAGCACCCTAAAATTAATAACTTTGGCAAGTTTACTTTGTCACAATTACTCAACAGTGATTATATATGTATTGTGTTATCTCTGACATCCCTGAATAATGATACAGACTGGATGTAGTTACAGTTACTTATGTTCAATTGCAGCTAGGTATAAAATACCTCTTTAAGTTATATCTGCCTATATGTTACTGTATTTTAGTTACTATTAATTCCCATTTATGCCAAATATTTACATAGCAATATGCATTACAAATATACTATCTGAAAACAGCTCTAAATATAATGTGAGAACACTAATGAGGACATTCCTATGTTTATTTCACAGATGATGAGTTCTTAGTCATAAAAACAAAGTCAACTTTCTTGTTTATCCTTTAATGTAGTAGAAGTTTGAAATGAGGCTCGGAACCTACTCAAAACTGTCACAAGAGAGACAAGGCCTTTTTGAGTCTCATGAACTCTCAGAAAAATCTGAGCATTACTGTTGAAATTGTAACTGGGTTGGGTGTTAAGGTTTTACAGAGGGTCAACTTCACTTGAGTCAGAAAATTAACTGTGAACTTAGGACTACAGTCACATGTCCCGTGGTCAAACTGAGAAGCACAGTTTTTCAGCACTACCTTTAACTAAGTAAAATGTAAATAAATAGTCACCTTAGAAAAGAAATTGGTGCGTCCAACAGATCCAATTCTTCCTGTATGGTTCATGAAACAAGTGTTTCCTTCAGTTGCAGCATAAAACTCACAGATCTTAACAGCACCAAATCTGTCTAAAAATTCCTTCCATACATCACTTCTTATTCCATTCCCAAATGCTAGTCGGACTTTGTGATTTTGTTCTCCTTCTTTCTGTTAAAAAAAAGGAAAAATATAATAACCTGATAACTGCATTTGACTGTGGGGAAAATGTACCTTCTTCAAATACATCAATTATAAACAACAAAAAGAAAAAACCACAGCAATCAAGAAGCCAAAGAAAGCTGGCAAGGCTGGTGAACAGCTACAACATAGCAAACTGCAATCAAACCTCCATTATCTTGTTGAACAAGCAAATTATTTCCTGAATAATGGCTACAATAATTTATATAAACAATTCCATATTTTAAAAGTTGTATCGTCTCAGCCTATTTCTACCCAGAAGAATTAAAAGACTGGAAAGAACAGAGAAACGCAGGAATTATTTCTGTCATGGGATTAAAGTCAGAAGAGATGAATAGTTACTTTCCTGTGTCTTCAGAATGATTATGAGAAAGAATCAGATTTCACACACTTGTAGCATCTCTTCCTTTCTGTCCATTGCATATGAGTCATCTTCTGTATTTTATTAAATATTAAGACTTGCAAGGTTTTGTTCAGTGTTATTTGGAACATATTATTTCTTAGTGATCTTGGGTGTTTACTATTGTCAGCTCCCATGTTTATTACAACAGACATAACAGTATGCACCCAGTTCAGTAAGACGCTCTAATTTTACGAATGCATACCCAACATTGAGGTTGCATGGACCACCTTGAAAATACAATCACATTTAAACTGAAGTACCAGAAGGCAAAACAATTGCTTTCAAATCAAAACTACTGTTTTGATTTATTTAGTTGTTTAATTGCACCTAGTTTAAAATAATACACTCTTTAATCATTGCAGGTGGCAATACAGAATGCTCTAGAAGTGAGACAGAATTAAGTAAATATAGGTACAGTTTGCTACCACATTCCTTTAGAACTGCATAGCACTCTGGTACTGCTACACTGCCTGTATATACCTCTATCTATGTACACTTACATGTATATGTATTAAACACATCTCTACATAGAAATGCACACATATGCACATATTCACACTCCTTTCATATATGTATGTTTGTATGTATATACACACACACATCCATTTTAGCACCTTTAATCTCACTTAAAAGCACAGCGAATCATTTCTGTGAAGAGGCATCATGCATTTAGCAATCTTTCAACTACAAGATTGGAAATTATATGTAATTTAATAATCCAAAAGGTCTAGTAAGTATGAAAAAAAAATACAATGGGGGAAGCTTTAAGCAGTGAGTTTTACTCACATTAGTTTTACATGGAAGTTAATATAGCTATGCTTTACCCGTTTTTACCTAAACCTTTTTTATAACTAACATATGACATGAATTCATGCTTGCTTTACGTGTGACTAACTTTCAGTGGAAAATGAACCACAATAAATCATAGAACCATAGAATCAACCAGGTTGGAAGAGACCTCAAAGATCATCAAGTCCAACCCTACCATGGTTACTAGACCATGGCACCAAGTGGCACATCCAGACTCATCCTGAAAACCTCCAGGGATGGTGAATCCACCACCTCCCCAGGCAGCCCATTCCAGTGTCTGACTACTTTCACTGTAAAAAATCTCTTCCTA